TGGGATGCCGTCTCCTCCTTATGCGAAGCTGTCATGCTAGCTAAGGAGGCGGGACGCCTGAGGCAGCGAAGCGCTGCCTCCTCGGAATTCAGCCATCGCGAAGGACACACCGGGCGTCGGGGATCGCGGGACGATCTCCGGCCACCGTAAGCGCGGGCCTGCGGACGGCGAGCATGGGTGGCTCCCCGTCCGACCAGAAACAGACCCTAGCGTACGGCGCGTCGCGATCCGCGCGCGCCTCAAAGAGCCATCGGACCACCACAGATGGGGCCCAATAGGGCCGATGCCGATTCGGAGTCGCGGAGAACCTAACGGGTAACCGGGGCTCCGGATCGACGTGCAGGAGAAGGAACGGGGTGGTTTTTAGTCAGTAAGAGTTTGACACTCCCTCCCGCCTCACCCAGGCGGGAGCAGTCATTCGATGATTTTCCCCCCTTAAAAAAAAAAAAGAGTTCCCTCAACTATGGTAGTACTTCATCATCAGACCCTTATTGGCAATCACATACCACCTAGGTATAAAGTCCTCATCAATACAAATTAAATCAAACCCAAACACAATGTAGCTACTGTTAACCGCTGAGGTGTACCCTCGACTGCCTATCGGCTCCATCATCAGATCAGCTCCAGGCCTCTATCACATTGTAGTGGTTTTAAAAACTTAACGAAAAAATTAACAAATGCAGTAGTCGCCCCTATTATTTTTAAAAGTTCCCCTCGGTTTCCCTGGGATTCCATCATCAGATCCTGACTTCATGACAATGGGACCAAATGACAAACATACCCTTTCAAACAAAAAAATAATTTTTGAAATCGGTCCAGGCGTCTTCGAGTAACCAGGTAACAAACATAAAAAAATCATACAGTTGAATTGAGAACCTCCTCCTTTTTTTTGAAGTCGGTTGAAAAGTAGTTAAATATGAGGGTGGATTTAAAGCGACCTTGTGACTTTGTTTCAAATATACCCTCTTATTTTGATAACGACGTCATGATAAAAATATGGAAGGTCCTTAGCGTCACTAATATTGCTATGCAAAAGTGTTTTGACTTTGGAAGTCCACTTCAGACCTTGACCTTACCTGCACATGTAAAATACTGCGTTTCTACTTCCAGACGTGTGACCTTGCTTTGCTTGCAGTCCACAGGGAATTTTCTGCATCGGACTTCCAGAGTGAAATCCTATTGTGAGGAAATCAGTAGGTCCATCATTGTCCTGGCTATCATCTGTTTCGTTCGTTACTATCGGTTTTTCTGTTCCACTGGAACTAGCTTCCTGCTTACAGGAAGTCCCGCGAGAGGAAGATTCTGATTTCGCGCTCTTGGCTCCTTGCATCTTTTGGCAATCGTTTCCATTATAGCCACAATTTTCTTGTGTACAGGGAATATTCTGTATCGCAAAATCTCCTGTTCTGGAGCCTCCAGCGCCGTGCATTCCATTTCTATCCATCTCTTGACAAACATTAACTTTATCCTTTTCTATAGATTCCTTTATTTTCTGGCAAACATCTATTTTCTCTTTAATAGATTCCTCTATCCCCTGGCAAACATTTTCTTCCTTTTCTATTGATGCCAGTATCCCCTGGCAAACATCAATTTTCTGTTTTATAGATTCCTCTATCCCCTGGCAAACATCATCTTGATTTTCTATGGATTTCTGTATCTGGTTCGGATCACCTTCTCTCTCTTCTACAGGTTTCTTTATCTCCTGACTTGCATCTGCTTCAACCGGGTCTTTACTAGCAAAGCGTTTTATTTGCATGGTTGCTTTTTAATTTTCATTAATATCGCAAACTACGTATAAAGTACTCACGTCCACGAGCACAAGCTTAAGTGAAAGAATCTTAAAATTTTCCGCCAGTAACGATTTTCTTCCACTGCCGAAGAAAATCAAGTACCAAATTTCCCACTTTAACTACAGTACACTACTACAGTACACTTCTACAGTACACTTCTTTCTTCACGATGACGACGAAAAATTAAGTATAACGAACCACTGCCTGATTCTTCCATAGTCACAATTCGGAAATGTCTAACTATTGGCGAACGCAACAAAACAAAGAAAAATCAAAATGTTTTAGGGAACGGAGCGCACAGGGCGCCGTGCGCCGCGACCGATCACCGAAAAGACACTGAACGTTCAAAGAACAATCCAGAAATTTCCGCGAACCGAACGAAGCGCACAGAACGGCCGTGCGACGCCACCGAACACCGGCTAAAAACTGGATGTTCAAAGAAAAAAAATCAGAAAATTTCGCGAAACGAAGCGCACAGTACGGCCGTGCGACGCGACCAAGCACCGGCTGCAAACTGGATGTTCAAAGAACAATCCAGAAATTTCGGCGAACCGAAGCGCACAAAATGGACGTGCGTTGCGACCGAGCGTCAAGTGCAGACTGAACCGACAAAGAACACTATAGAAAAAATCCGGACCGGAGCGCACAAACGGACGTGCGTAGCGCTCGAGCACCGAGTGCAGAATGAATGTTCATCTCCCCTTCGTCAACCGACATCCGAACAACCACCCCGCCCCATCCTCTAACGCGTGGGGTGCTGGGTGGATTGCTCCCGCTCCCCCACGCCACCCTAGCGACTGTCTAGGTAACGCCCGTAAGCTCTAAATCAATATGTAGCTAAAATTAAACGGCCCAGACATTAATTTTCCTCTAACAAAACAGATAAGAGGATTCGGGTTTCAAAAGAAATATTGAAGAGAAATATTTTTGTTTACGTCTATGTATTGGTAGGTACTTTTGCTTTGAGAAAATTTTATATGGAACCTTCATTAGTGGTTTATTAGCCAAATCTTTTTATTAATTAATAGGTATGGTTCCCAAATAGCCTGTCTCTAAGCGATGATGAAGAATAAGGTGAACTTTTCTAGGATATGATTTTTGCGTCTGATGAAATGATGATAGTTACTAATCAAATCAAATACCTTTATTTGCTGAACAAAGCTGTACATAGTGACTGAGGTGTTATTAATTACGGTACAAAGCTGAAGGAGGACTCCATATTTTCTTTGAACACGCAATCGAAGTAGCGGAAACCTGAAGTC